GGGTTGCCTTCCACAGGGGCAGGCGAGGGGATGTGCCCCCCACAGACCTGCAGGTGGGCGGGAGCCCTGGGGCCAGCTGCCAGGCCAAGCACCAGCGGAGTTGACCCCGGCAGCTTCCCTTTTGGGCCGATGACCTGGAGGCTCTGGCCGAGCTCTGGCTCCGCGATGCTGGCCCAAGACCACACGCAGGTGGCCTCACGCCAGCCTGCCCCTGAGGCTGCTGCCAGCCAACCTGAGCCGCCTGTCCAGGAAACAGGGGCCGACGACGGAGAGACGGGGTGGACCCTGGGGCTCGGGCCGGAGCCAGCCGGGCGCCAGTGACAGGCGGGCGAGGAATAACCCGCGGGGCCGGCCAGCACCCGCAGTGCCAGCCAGACCGCTCCAGCCCCTCTGTCCCACCCACTGTCCCTGCCCCTGTGGGCCACCAGCCTCAGGCCTTGCCCTCTGGGACCCTTCTGCAGCTGTGGATGCCACGGGCCCTCCCACAAGGGGCTGGCAGGGTATGACACCAGCTGGATGAGCTGGCATCGTGCTGCGGGGCCATGGGGAAGCCCTGGCCCGCGTGGGCACGAGCCGGAGCACCGCGGGCCCAGGAGCTGAAGCGTGTTGTCCCCCCGAGGCCTCCTCTGGCGTGACGCTGAGGCTGTGTCCAGGGCCCAAGGACCACCGGGGCCTGCTCCATGCTGGTGCCTGGGGCGACGTCAGCTGTTTGTGTTGAGAGCTGGAGACTCACGAGCACTTTCAGGCGCTGCCCCACCCCCACCCCGCGCCGTGTCTCCTGCTGACGGCCGCTCCGCAGGGACTGATGCCCGTGGCCTTTAGCTGGGAGCCCGGCGTGGCCGAGCATCCGCAGAGCTGAGCCTGGGCGGCAGGGCCGGCCGCCCTCACGCCCCGCCCCGGGCCAGAGCTGCAGGCAGCACGGCCCGGGGAAGCACCCGGCGCCCGCCTGGCCGGATCATCCCGCAGCTGCCAACCGCCGACTGGGCCGCGGAGCCCAATCAGGCGTAATTGGATGTCTCCTTCGCCGGCCTCCCCAGCGAGCTCAGCTCCCGAACGACCGACCCAGCACTGTTTTTCTTCCCCATTATGGGCTGCCACAGCCAATTTAATGGGGACGATGGACGCAGCCTCAGCAAGACAAACAGCCGGAGCCGGAGGAGAGCCTGCCCGCTAATTGGAGGAGGCAGCGCGGGGCCGCCGGGCTGGGGCACCTCGCCTCCGCCGGGAGGGCTGGGGTGTGGCCAGGAGCCTGCTTTCCAGGACAGCCGGGGCCGCGGTGTCCTTGACACCAGCGCGGGGCGGGAGACGAAGGAGGCCGTCCTCCAGGGCCAGCCCAGGGCGGGCGAGCAGACGAAGCCGCGCAGCCCGCCTTCCCCGCGACCTTCTTGTCGAGCCCGTAGCGAGAAGGGAGAGATCAATAAGGCGAAGACTGTCTCTTCCCACGAGTCAGCTGCTGGCCGCTCCCGCCCTGCTGCAGCTCCCCCTGGCCTGGCTTGGAAGGAGGGAGGGAGGGAGGGTCCTGGCGAGCTGGGACCACACCCTGGCGGCTTGGAAACTGGCCAGTTAGAGGGCAGTGTTGTGACCTGCCTGATCCCGCCAAACTTCACCTGGCGGGAGCCCAGGGCGGGTGTGCGGGGCGCGGGTCCTGCCTGGCCTCACCCTAGGTGCCGAGTTGCTCGCTGTCTGCCGGCTTCTGGGGAGAGCAGCGCCTCCGAGATGGAGCCAGGGCGCGGGAGGCCGGCCAGGCTGCGTGGGACGTGGGATGGCACTGCAGGTGGAGCTGGTCTGGGCGTCCTGGCCTGGCCTGCCCCTGTCCTGCCCCTTCTTGCTCCCGTGGTGGGGGTGGGACAGGCCGGGAGCCTGGAAGGCCAGGGCAGGTGGGTGGGGGGCTTCAGCACCCCTGGAAGCAGGTGGCAGAGACCAGGCCTCCAAGGGGCAGGGAGAGGACTCTCCGAAGCCCACTTGCTGCTTGCAGCTGCTGTCCAACGGTGCTTGGCGCTAGCCGGTGTGCGTGTGTGCGCGTGCGTGTGCCGGTGTGCTGTGCATGTGTGCACGGTGGTGCATGTGTGCACTGTGGTGCACGCACACGGGAGCCATCCGCCCCCACGGCCCCAGAGGCCATCTGGGGCCAGGCCCTCACCTCCCCCCTCCTCGCCCCCCGCTCGGTGCCCGCTGCCCTGACTCACCAGCGCCGGGTGCAGGGCGGCGGATCCTCGCCAGGTCACCGTTCTGGCACCTTCCGCTCCTGCCGCGTGATGAATAAGCCTCAGTGACTCACCAGCTGGAGGACACTCGTCTGTGCCAGGGGCCGGCCGAGGGCCCATTGCCCCGGCTCAGGCTGCCCGTGCCCTGACTACCGGCCCTAGCTGCTGGGTCACGCTGGCGGCAGCTTCCGTCGGATAGGGACAGCGCCACAGGCTGTGGGCAGGGGCTCCCCCAAGACCCCAGGGGTAGGGCAGGCAGCTCCTCCGTGAGGACGACCAGGGCCACCTAGACACGCACAACCCTGGACCCTCTTCAATCTCTGCTGAGCCGAGAGGGCGGCGGAGGCACAGCCCCCTTGAAGGACTAACTGACCTTGAGGGGGCCGTTGAGAACCAGGAGTCGCTGTCCCTGTGCGTAAGCCTTTCTGGCCATCGTGAGAGCCGCAGAGCTAGGCCTGGCCTTGGGGTGGTGTCTGCAACCCTGGGGGGGCCCTGCAGATTCCACCCACCACACTGGAAACACCCAAGGCCCCCCAAGCCCCGTGGGGACCCGCGGCTCTCGGGCCTCACCTGCGGGTGGCTGGACCCGGCTCAGGAGCGGCCCTGCGGGTTTATTTCCCACCATTTGCTGCCCAGTTCCTGACCTCTGTCCACCCTCCCTCCCCAGCCACCTCCAAGGGTCCAGAAATGGTTGGTGCGCTCCGTGTGGAGTACCACCTCCTGACACGGGTGCTCCTTGTGGCTCAGGGCCTCCGCTGCCCTGAGAAATGGCTGGCTTCGGGGCTGTGTGCCATCTGGCAGGGGCTGGGCGTGTCTGCAGGGCGGTGTGAGGGACACCGGGGCGAGGACGGGCCACATAGACTTAGTGCCGCATGCTCGAAACCACCGAGGTGCCCCCAACCCCGCCGAGCTCAGCCATTGAGGGATCCCGGGCCCACATGTCACCGTGCTCCCCAGAACCAGGAGGTGGGGCTCCTTCCTGGGCAGGGCATGGACAGAGGCACAGCCCTGCCCTCCTGTAACTCCCAGGTGGACATCGGGAGAACTCAGGGCTTCCTGGAGCAGCGGCCACAGCGCCAGGACAACCAGGTCTGCTGCGCCCAGCACGAGCTCCCGCGCCGGACCCCACGCCCCCCAGAGCTGCCTGCTCCGGCCCCGGGCCCGGCCTTTAATGCCGCAGACCTATCACGCTGTGCCATGGGCCCTGCACTTGGTTCTGGGGCCCTGGTGGAGTGCCAGCACCCCCCTATGTCAGTGCCCCCCCAGGCCAGGCTGGAGGACCCCGGAGAGTACTGGATTTCCGTCTTGGACTCAGAGGGTGCCCAAGCCCGCCAACTCCAAAAGATGCGTGGGTGAGAGACCTGGCATCATGTGGGTGTCCTAGGCCGGGCAGAGCCACAGCTGATTTGGGCAAACGGACAAGGACTCTGGGAGCCCAGGCAGACCTGCAGGGCCCACAGAGCTGAAGTGGGGGGTGGCTGCAGAGGCCGCGAGGCCAGCAGGAAGGGAGGCAGGGAGGCCGGGAGGCGGGCTCAACGGGCCTCCCAGGCCCTGCAACCACAGGCCTCTCGGCCCAGGTGTCTGTACTTTCAGGCCTCCTAAGTGGTTTTGCAGGAACGCGATGTCAGGTGTGGTGAGGAAACCCGGGAGGAAAACAAAGTCGCAGGTGGCGGCCACGGGGGCTGGTGGTGGGAGCGAAAGGGCCCGTGTTACCCCACGCTACCCCCGCTCCTCACACACCGAGCTGGGGTGCAGGGGCAGGTGAGTGGAGGGGGCGGTGCTTGAAGGCGGCAGAAGAGCCGAGATGCTCCTGGGCGGTGGGGCCTGGGAGTCAGCGTGCTGGGTGGCGGGGCCGCCCACAGGCACGGGCCGACAGTTGTGGGGCACCAAGAGGTGGCCCCGGCCAGGGAGGGCGGGCCCAGGAGTGGCCAGCACTTGCGCCCTGCAGCCGCCCCAGGGGCCAGGGTTACCCTGCTCTCACCCAGGGAGCTGGAGGGTGCTCACACCACGCTGACAGGGTGAGAAGTGGCCATTGGTCACTGCGCTCCTCAGTTACCTGACCAGAGGGGGTGGAGAGAGAACTGGGGCTTCTTTCTCTGTGTTTCAGCCTGCATTTCCCAGCTCCTGGGCAGAGCCTGTCAGCAGAAGGGAGCTGGGCCCGGACCCGCCCACCAGGTCCTCCTCGGGCACCGGCTCCTGCGTCCTCATGGGCACAGGGTCCAGGACCTGCGAGGGAGCTCGGCCGACTGACCGGGCTGGGCGTGCTCAATGCCAGCTCTCGGGCTGGCTGGCGCCCCATGGGCCCACGGCCTTCCACCTCCCCCCACAGCCCGCGCCACCCGGAGCCTCTCATGATGGAGACACTCGCCTGTTCTTTCTCTGCTGGCCCCGACCCCAGTCTACTGCAGACCGCCTGGGGACGTAGCGGTGTGGCCTGTCCCGGGCCTGCTCAGAGGACAGGCCGACCCATGTGCAGGCCAGGGTCCCAGCCTCCAAGGGGGTTCACCTCCTGCACCCCCATGGGAGTGCACCGGATGGCCGGGACCTGGGCTCCCAGCACCCCCTCTTTGGCTGGCAGCTGCCCCGACCCCTCCCGGGCCCGTCAGAAAGCCTGGCAGTGGGGGTTCGGCGGGGAGCCTCCTGATACACCCAAGGGCGGGGCTCCCAGCACATTCCTGGGCTCAGACGGGGCACAGGTCTCCCGAGGGGACCCCTTGAGCTCGGGACGCACCTGCACACCAGACGGTCCCCAGCACCTAAACCCCCAGAAATGACGAGCGAAGCCACGACGTCTCCTAGTGTTTTATTGTTCCTCAGCTAACCGGGTGTACAAAGTTCCCTCGTGTTGACTGAAAAACGCGCTTTCCACGCCGCCACCTGGGGCGCGCGCCCGGGGGCGGCTCGCGGCTGCGCATCTGCTAACTGAGCGAGGGGAGCAGGAGTCCTTCGATTATTATGGACACGAACGTGATTATCTCTCTAGAAGGGCGAACACTGATTTTTATTTTCTTTTTCAAAACAAAAGCCATCCACGTATTAACCCGACTACGGCATTGCGTCACGACATTCGCTGCGTAACTGAACACACAAAGTCACCACCTCAAGGAGGAACGGACGGACACTGCACAACGTATCTACGGGGGACGGGGTTCCGGCCACGCGGGCAGCTCTGCCCTGCGCTGACCGACGGCGAGGGCTGGGCGCCGCCGGGTCCTCGGCACGGACAGCCTAAGACGCAATGCATGGCTGTGGGGGGCCAGTGAGACTAGCTATGTGGCCCGGGGCCTCGGGGAGACGCGACGCCACGTCCATCAGGGCTGGCCACGACCTGGGGGTGTCCATGGGCCCTAACAGCGGTGGTTCTGGGGCGGAGTGGCCAACAGTCAACGCCTTATTTCTTAGTGTGTTATTTGACCAGAAAGTGGGCCAGGGCGGGGCGGGGACCGGGACCCTGGGCTGCAGTTCCAGCTGCAAAGAGGGGGTTTCCTTCCCGAGCCCGTGGTCTCCGGCCGCGGCTGGGAGTGGGAGAGGCAGCACACCACGGCGGCAGCCCCGCGGCGGCGGCCTCTCCGGCCGGGTCCCGGGGGTCATCTTGGCAGCTGTCCTCGGGGCCGTGAGCTGGGGGCGGCTGGGCCCCTCGGCCTCGGGCAGCGGCTCCGACTACAACTCGTCGGAGCGGATGACGTGGAAGAGCGTGACGTTGTAGAGGATCTGGTGGCCGTTGTTCCAGGCGTACAGCGCGCGGTCCTTGGGGTTGTAGTCCAGCATGGAGATGTGGGAGTACTTGTTCTGGAAGGGGATGTCGATGTACTCGTAGGTGGAGGCGTTGGTCTGGTAGGCGTAGTGCACCTTGGTGCCCCCCGAGTAGCCGTTGGTGACATAGAGCGTCCCGCAGATGATGAAGGCCTCGCCGGCGCTGCGCTTGGGGTAGCTGGTGTTCCAGGTCTGCAGCGCCTGCAGGGACACGGGGTCCAGCTTGCTGATGACGATGTTGCCGGCGTTCTGGTTGGTGGCGTACACGGCCCACAGCCCGTTCTCGTCCACCATGAGGTCGATGTCCGAGTGGCCGCCCCAGGCGTAGTGGTACATGTTGTTGTAGCCGGCGTAGTCCAGGCTACGCGTCTTCAGGATGGTCTCGGTCTTCAGGTCGAACCTGATGACGATGTGGCTCTGGAACTTGTTGAAGTAGATGGAGCCGTTGTACACCACCTGCCCCGTGCCCGACCAGGGGTGCGGCAGGCGGTGCGACGTGAAGTTGTCCGTGGTCATGAAGTCCGCCATGGACTTGTACTCGCGCACGAAGCGGTTGTTGTGGTAGCCGTCCATGTACCAGACCTGCGGGGGGCAGACCCGTTAGCTGGCGGGCGGCGGGTGGGGGGCGTGGGGGTGGGGAGCCGGCCAGGAGTTGGTTTCATTTACTTGGCCGAGAGGGAAGGAGCTGAGAGACGGGAGGGGGCGGGCCTTCCTCCAAGCCCACGGGGCACTGCTCCAGGGGGCCGGGCCAGGCGTCCAGCTTACCTGGGCCTGGCTGGGCCCCGGGATGCCCAGCTGCAGGGTGCACAGAGAGAGCTGCACCTCCTCCCGGAGGTCTGCACTCACAGGAGCAGCGCGTCTGACCAGCCTGGGTGGGTGGACGTGACCACCCCGAGCTGAGCCCCAGAGCCGCGGGGACGGGGAACGTGGGGTGGGCACCAGAGGTCCAGGGACACCGGGACATGCCAAATCCCCCGTGATCTGGAGACCAGCCCCTTCACATGCCTCACGCGGAACTGGTGCCGGACACGACTGACCTTGAGCCACGTCCAGGAGTCTCTACCCCTCCGTAGCTTTTCAGCCAATAAAGCTGAGGCCCTCTGCTCCCAGCCCCGTCCCCTCAAACCCTCTTATCAGGGGACCGAACTGAGTCACCTCCTGCCCCTTGCAATCCCTGCAATAAGCCGACTTCTCAGGACCTGGTGTCTCATCCCCTCCACTGTGTCGGGGACACCCCAGGGCATGTCCCTCCTGGCAGCCGCCAGAGACCCAAACCACCACGGCCCCCGTCGAGCCTCCTGCAGGGGACGTGTCCAGGCTGTGGGGCGGCTGCTGCTCCCCGACCGAAGCCTGCACTTCTTTGGGGGGGGGGGTAGGAATGTGGGGGGTAGGCTGCTGTGCTTGAGCCCGCCAGGAGGGTGGCCCAGGAGGGGCACAGCACCGCTCCGAAGGGGGCTCACAGTCTGGCTCAGGCCGCAGTGCAGGCCCGGCACCGAGGTCGGCTCAGCGGGGGGTGCCGGGGCTGAATCACCCGTGAGTCACGCTGTGACTCTGGGCGCGACCGCTCCCCCGGCCAGGGCGGGGCGGGGCCTGCCTAGCAGCACGCGGGCTGCGGGGCTTCTGCTGCCGACACCCCAAGGCGTCACGTGCAGGAGCAGCCGGGCTCGGGGCTACGGGGCGGAGATTCGGATTATCACTTAAGCGCTAGTTCGCGCGAAAGCTGTCGAGACTGTGCACAAAACACTTTAGTCATTTTCCACCAATCTGGGAACAAATGAGAAAGCAGCCCCGCTGGGCAGGGGCGCGGCTGCCGCGGAGGCCGCTCCCCGCGCATCTGTCTGGCAGCGAGGCAGCTGCTCCAGCCGCCGAGGCCGCGGCGCCGGCTCCTGCTACTCGCGTTAAAAATTTAAAAAATCCCAACCTTGCTCCTGAGGCCTCCTGCGGACGCCAGAGGCCGATGGGCTGCTCGTTTTTAGTGTTTTTTCCAGCTGGGTCCCGCTGGAGGCTCTGAGCACCCCACTCCGCAGGCCGGCCCCGGTGGGGGGTCATGGGCTGGGCTGGGCCGGGGCGCTGGGGGTCACCGGCCAGCGCGGCCCCAAAGGGCCTTGTGCGGCTGCCTCCTGGGTGGGCCCCCCTTCTGAAGGCTCGGTCGGGGCCCGGGTCCCAGCACCCGAGGGGGCTTCGCTGCCACCTAGGCCGGGGCCCAGTCCCCGCCAGCAGCTCCCCGAGGGCCGGGGCCTGTCTGCCGGGCCCGTGGCCGCCCCAGGGCCAGGCTCCTTCCTGAGGACACACCCAGGTGAGCCTGGCACCACGTCACTAAGATCTCCAAGCCACCTTCTCCCCCTGTAAACTGGCAAATGGAACACAGCACAACACAATTTCCAGAAAATGCAGCTCGGGTGGGAGGGGAGCCAGACAAGGAGCGAAGCGTTTAACAGCCAAGGCCACTCGAGGGCCTGCCAGTTCCCAGGGTGTCAAACGCCCACCGAGGCTGAGCGTGAGTCTCGGGGGCGCTGTGGCGGCCCGAGGGCCTGGGCGCTGGGACCCTCGGCCCTTGTCCCACCTGATCTCTCGAAGGCCTTTCCTCCCCTCCCGTGCACTCGGCTCAGATGGAGCCCTCGCTCGGGACGCCCCCCGCCTCCGGCCTGGCACACCCGGGCGGGGCGCCCGGAGGAAAAGCTCCTCACTCCTGCTCCACCGGGTCCCGGGGACACCTTCACGCCAAGGCCGGCCTCTGGGCCCTGGGGGTGGGCAGGTGCAGGTGCTTGGGGGACACTCCCGGCTGATTCCTTGAGGTGCAGGCGGCGAGCGCAATGCCGGAGTCCGTGCTGGCTGGGAGGCCGCTCAACTGGGCATCTCGGACAGCCTGGTCTGGGGCCCAGCCCTCGATTCCCATTAGCAGGCTCAAGTGGCGGCCGTGGCCCAGGTTTTAAAAGCCTGCTCGCGGGTCATGATGTGCCAGCTACGTCACAAATCCTTGCTCCAGCCACACACGCGTGTGCAGACCCCGCCCACATCCCCACCAAGGCCAGCGCAGCCCCCCAGCCCCAGGGGAGGCAGGCAGCCAGTCCTCCGACAGAAAGGGCACCGATGTCCTCCCTCTAGGCCAGGCCAGGCCAGGCCAGGCCCAGGCAGGGCTTCCAGGATGTGTGCGGCCCTGCCTGCAGGCGGGGACCAGCTCAGTGGGCCTGGCGGGCGCAGCCCGGGCCCCGAGGTGGTGCTGCTGGCCCTGTGGTTCTGGGCAACGCCTGCTTTCCTGTGCACGGGGGTCGGGTTATCAGGCTCTCCCAGTCTCTGGAAGGACCTGACCTCTGTCCACGGAGACTGGCGGTTACCCAGCTACAGGCCGAGACCAGAATAGGGGCGACACACTCGGGCACCGTCCGTCTATACACGGGACACTCCGTGCCATGCCGCCTGCTCCCGGTTCTCTCTGCCCCACCCACTGTGGCAGCCGCTATCACCCCATTTCCAGACCAGAAGACAGAGGCCTGAGCCAGGGTGACGTCCAGGCCACAGAGGCTGCAGGCAAAGTCGGGGATCCCAGTCCAGTGCTCCAAACCATGGGCTCCCAGCCAGGGGGCACCCACTGGGGACACCCCCGCCTGCTGGGTCTAGACCCAGTTGCTGCTAGCACCCCCTACGCCCTACTGTCCAGGACTGACCCTCAGTGGGGGACAGCGCAACGTGGTCCCAAAGAGGGCCCTGGGGGTGCTGCCTGGCCCGCGGGTGGCAATTGCTTTGGAGTCCTGAGGCCACCCTAGGAACTGAGCTGGCCCTGCAGAGCAGGCCCCTGGGGTGGGACGAGGGGGTGGGTGGCGAGACGATTTCCTCCCGCTCTCCACACTGAATCCCAGACTCGCCTGCCAGAGCCCATTTCGTCCACACGCTGCCTGGCCTGGGACGGCTCAAAAGGCCCTGTGAGGCTGGGGACATGGTCCTGGCCTCATCCCTCAGGTGCTGCCCACGGCCAGTGTGCGGGTCACTCAGTTCAGAGGGGGAACTGGACTCTGGAGGTCTCGGGGGACAGCCTGGCGTGGGGGTGCTTGGGGAGCCCCGTGCCATTGGCATGTGGGTGTTTACCAGTGCCCCCCGCAGCGGCTGCACACAGCTGGTGCTTAATGTATGCATCCTGGAGGGATGGCGGTGGAGGCATCTGAACGGGCCTGGGGCTGTCCACCGAGGGTCCGGCCAGGCCACGTTCCTCCCCGCTCCGCCTCTGGCCATGCCCTGGCCACGCCCTGGGCGGCAGCCAGCACCGAGCTACACTGACCTTTCGTGCTGGGGCGATTCATCGGCCCCCCGCGCGTGTGATCAAAATTGCAGGGAGAACGAGGAAGAGCAAAACAAACACACGGTTTGTCCGATCAATGCGGCGGGGCGGCCCCTTGCAGGCGCTGTGCTGAGCCAGCTGGCGGGAGCGGGGTCGGGGTGCCCCCCCACAGCCTCGCCGCGCTCAGACAGCCCCCGCCTCCTCCAGCCCGCGCTGGGCCGGCTCCAGGCTGCTCTCCTGGGGGGCGATCAAGTCATCAAGCAGAAGAGACGCGTAACCATCAAGGGCACCCATCAGCCCCTCGACAGCTCTGCCGACACCCCCTGCTCTGGGAGGCACACAGCTGGGGCCAGCAGGCGCCCGGATACGTGGAGGCCCCTGCACCACCGGGAGCGGCCGGGAGGCGCAGCCGCCGTGGCGGCCCCGCGGTAACTGCGCATACAGGGCTTCCTCTGCGCCCTGCTCATGGGGGCTGGCGCTCAGGTCCCAACAGGCCTGCCTGAGTTTTGGGGTGTGCCTGGTGGGAAGAGCAGCTTGCAGGCGGGAGGTGGGGAGAAGGCAGCTGGGGATGTGGGGACTCAGCTGGGACGGCAGCGTCTGCGGTGACACGGGGCAGTGAGAGCATCCGCCCCTTGCCAGGGGCGCGCCGGCCTCTGGGCCCGGTTTTCCCGTCAAGCTGCGACCTTGACGCTGGAGGGCAGCTGGAGGCCCCACCGGGAAGGTGGCTGCGCCCACACCCCGCGGTCAGCAGGGGTCCCGGCCGGCACCACGGACTCGTTTTGATTTCTGTGTGGTCACTGCTGTCGCCACCCCTGGGAGGAGGGCTCGCCTGGCCACGCAGAGCGGGGTCGCCGGCCAGGGAGATGCGGCAGGGTCTTAGCGAACCCGGCAGCACCCGCTTCCGAGGTCCAGAAAACAAGCCTGCAGCCGCCTCCCCCCCACAGCCCACCGGCCGTGGCCTGGGCCTCGCAGCCGCACCCCTGCCCCGCGGTGGGTGAGACAGACCAGAGCCACTGTCCCTGCCCCCGCCGTCCTCCCGGAGGGGACAAGGAGCCAGCACTAAGGTCCTTCCTGCTGTGAATGTGCAGACCTGGGGTGCCTGCGGGGTCGGGGGCGGCTCCAAAGCCAGAAAGCCCAGGAGCGAGGACACGACGGTCCTTTCTGTCCAAGCCACCGACACGAGGCTCTAGGAGCTCGGCGTTCTCAGCCCCTTTCTTGATTGGGCTGGGGAGCGGGGTGCGTTTTCAAGCGTTCATTTCCTAAATATCTTGCAAGTTCTCGCAGGCGGGCAGGGGGCTCCAGCCGGCGGGGGGCTCATGGGGGCTCACGGGGCAGCTGCAGCTGTGGGTGACAGGGGACTTGGAGCGGCGGAGCAGCTGCCCTGCACCAGCCCTGCGGGGACCCTGCCCGGGGGTCCCTCAGGTGTCCCGTCTCGGGCACAGGTGGCACCCAGGCCAGGCAGCCCCTTCCCTGCCCACCTCCTGAAGGGCTCCCGCCAGGGCCAGGGCCCCAGATCAAGGCCAGCGGAGCTTATCTCTTCTGGGTCTCCCCGGGGACGCCCAGAGAAGGCACGGCCTCCTCCCAGAATCAAAGGGGTGCACGTGTCCCCCCGGCCTTGGAAGGGATGCAAACGAGCTGCAAAGGGGGGGCAGCAGCACAGGAGACCTGGGGCCTCTACAGGGACTGGGAGTTCCAGCCCCGACACAGGGTGCGGCCTGCCCAGCTGAAGCGCCTCACCAGGGAGGGCTGCGTGGCCGGACACACCTGCCCCAGCGGCGCTGCGCCCTTGGGCTGAGGCTCTGGGTTGCACAGGGTCCTCAGCCAGGACCTGGGCCCGGCCCAAAGTCACCAAGCTCCCTGGTCCTAGGCCCTGGAGTGACCAGGCAGGTGGGTGGCAATAGTTTGAGGATGGAGCCGGGTCCCTCGTCCCCTGCGCTCACACCAGTCCAGCTGACCCGCCGAGCCCGCGCAGGGCACTCACCCTGTTGTCACCTTCTGGGGCCAGCGGGTCGGTCATCCAGGAACCAAACCTTGAGCCAGAGGTCTTGATGGTCACGGGGTCGCTGATGCCCGTTAACTTGCCACAAGCTGGAAGAGGGGACAGCATGGGGAGAAGAGTGAGTGCCTGGCTGGACCCCACTGCTGGGGCGAGGGTCCCCGCCCTCCCGCATGCATGGGGCCGTCGCCAGGCTCCAAGCTGGGCGGGCCAGCCTGCTTGTTGCTGACGCCCTGCAGGGAGGCATCGTGTGCTCTGGGGGGCAGGCGACCTCGGGTATGGCCCCAGGAACACCTGCTGGCAGGTGGAGGCTGGCCCGGCTTCTGGTCACTCAGCACTGGTGGCCAGCCTGGGCCAGCCCTTGCTCTTCCCACGCTCTGGGAGTCCCTAGGCTGCCTCTGAGGGCTGGGGCAGCCACCACTGGGACTGCACCCCAACTGGACCCAGCCCGCGCGCCCGGCCACTGTGGCTTTCCAGAATCAGCCTTGGCTCGAGGGCAAAGTGTCAAGTCAGGGAAACTGAGTTCTCCCTCTCAAGGTGGGGACGGCGACGAGGCCTGTGTGGCCTGGCCTCCCTTCCCTGCATGCCACGTCTGCCTCTCGCACACGTACGTGTGTGCACCACATGTGCACACATGCACACGCCCGCACACGCACATACGCGCGCAAGCCCAGCCGCTTTGGACGGAGCCTGACACCCCCGGGAGATGGTCCCCAGAGCAGAGGGGCGGCTGGGAGCGGCCACGGGGAGGGGCGAGGCCCGGCTCACGCCGCCTCTGCAGTCTGGGTGCCTCCCGCCTCTTCCTGAGAGAAAACGAGGTGTTTGTGCAAGAAAGGCGGCCCCTCGGACGCCGGCCCACGCCTGCTGCTCGGCCTGGGGGGCTGGGAGCCGTCTGTGAGCAGAAGGCCGGCTTTGCACCGCAACCCCCGCAGCGCCGCGGCCGGTTCCAAAGTCCTGGGGGCTGCGCACGGGCTGCTGCCTCCAGCCCAGACCCGAAAAAGAAACCCGCGCTGCGCCGCTCCCCACCCCGCCGGGCCCGCTGCAGGAGAAGCGCGCCCACGGGCGCCAGCCCGAGCTCCGCGGCGGCGGGTCCGCAGACGGTCACTCCGCGGCCGGTGGGTGAGCTGGGCCTGCCCCCGCGGAGGAGCGAGCGGGGCGGGGCTGGGGAGACCCTTCCACAGGGTGACGGGGGTGGGGAGGGGCATGGGTAGGAGGGTTCTGGAAACCTCAGGAGGTTCCTCGCCGTCCTCCGGGGGGTCGGTGGGTGCACCGAGGGCTTCGTGGGGAGGCATGGGAGAAGCGGGCCCTGGGTTGCACCCTCGGGCCCCAAGCTTTGTTCCACTGCCCCGGGGGGAGCGTGGGGCCACACCAGGGGACGCTGAGTGGCCACACAGCCTCGGGCTCCTGGAGCGTCCCCGGAGGCACGCCCTGCTGCGCTGGGGGAGGTGCTGCTGGCTCTGAGGGGGCCCGGAGCAGCCTCGCCCCAGAGGGCGCCACCGTTTGGGGACGCCAGGCGGAGACCCTGCTGGCCTGCGTCCCAAGCGCGCGGGTCCTGGCACTCTGGGTCCTCGGCCAATGCCCTGGCGTCTGCGACCTGACTGCCCGGTCCTCTGAGCGAGTCTGGGCCGCCGCGCCCTGCGGGCCACCTGCCGTGGGCCGGACTCTTGTCCTCAGAGGCAGCGGGGGCAGGTCGGCCCCCAGCTCAGGGGAGAATCCCAGCAGGAGCCCGCTCACCCCCCTGCAGCACCCCCTGCACCCCCGCCTGCCCGCCTCCTCCTGGGCTCCTGCGAGCGCCCTCCTCTGCCCCCGCCCACCGCCTCCACTGACCACGTGAGTGGCCCCACGCCCGGGGGCTCGGCCCTGAGACTCACACTGGCCCGGGCCCCAAACTCAGCCTGGGGTGTTGTCCATGAATGAGTGAATGACCTCTGACCTCTAGCACGTGAAGGCAGAATCATTCATCGCTCAGAAAGTCCCCGCATCGTGCTCTGGGGCCGGCAGGTAGCACAGGGGCGGGGCTCCCCGCACAGGGCAATTGGGGGGGCAGGACCCTTGTCTACACAGCAGGCCCGCCTCGCAGAGCCTCCAGGACGACCTCAGAGGGCAGGAGGGCTGCCCACGGGGGCGCTCAGGGCTGCACCTCGCTGCTCTGGTGGCCGCGGGCCGGCCTCAGCCAGGCCTGGGCCGCTGGGGGGTGCAGCAGCGTCGCTGCACCGGGGCGGGGCTCCTCCTTCCCCGCCGAGGGGCCGGCCTGGTGCCCTGGTCCCGGGAGCCTGTGGGGCTGGGGTGGGCAGAGGCGCCGCCGGCTGGGGAGCCCTGCTCCCCAAGCTGCCGCTGCAGGCCGCTCTCCGAGGCCACCGGGGCTGGAGGCCCACAGGCCGCCCGCCCTGCCTGAGTCAGGGAGTTATTTTTGGTTCTCCGTCCAGACTGGCGCTGCCAGGACCTCGGGAATTGACAGGATCTAAAAATGCCCCAGGCAGAGCAGAGCCATGCGCAGGGCTGGCACAGCAGCTCAGGGGAGGATCCTTGTCACGGGTGCTCAGGAAGGGGGTGCTCGGGAGGGGGAGGGGAGGGGAGGAGGGGAGGAGGAGGCATCTGGAAGCGGATGAAACCATCTGCCTCTTGCGGTTCCTGGGAAGCCACTTCTGAGCCCCAGCCCAGATGCGCGAAGGGGCCCAGGTGACATTCGGGCCAAGGAACTCAGGCCAGAGACAGGACAGAGGAGGGGCTGACGGCCCCAGCCGCAGAGTGGGCCCCGGGACCCTCTGGCCCCCGCCCCCAGCCTCTGCATTTGCTTTGGTCCAGCCTTTACTGCTGGAAACCGGGAAAGTAAAGCCGGTGACATCCTTGTGGGGACCCCTTGCAGGCCACGCGCAGGCCCGGCTGCGGGCTCAGCCCCTCGCCTGGGCAGGAGGGCCGGGCGGCTTCACCCGATGAGTCCTGCGCACCCTCCAGAAGGAGGAGCCTTTGGGACTGTGAGCAGCAGTTGGGGCCACCCCCGTGGGTCCTCCTGCGGACGGAGCCCCCTAAACCCGGCCTCACGGGACGCCGAGCCCACACGTGCAACTGGGATGGGCGCCAGCACTGCTGGCCCGGGATGGCTGACGGGAGACCCGCAAGGTCCGCCGTCCCCGTCACAGAAGCCGGGGGCTGGGGTAACGGACCCGCGACACGCCCAGGGCACACTGGCGCGCGTGGGAACTGGGCACCAGGCTCTGCCTCCAGGCAGCCAAGCCCACTGCGACGCCCAGGCCCCAGCACGCAGCATCGGGGACCAGAGGTGCCCCGGGGGTCTCCAGGGGACCCTTGCCAGGACGCCCGAGAGGCTGAGCGCGCCTCCGGCCGGCAAGAAGACTCTCAAAGTCAAGTTTCTCGCTGGCCCCTTGGAAAACACGCAGCCCCCTCTGGAGGGGACCCTCCTGATGCAACAGCACATCAGCGGAGCCTGCAGGGCCTGGGGGCAAGGAGAGGCCTGATTACGAGCCCTTGGGGGAACTTCTGCACCGCGACCCCGCAGGGAACCAGGACACCGTCTGCCAGGCCAAGACACCCACAGTGGGGGGCCCCTGGAGCCGGAGGCGACGGGACCAGAGGGGAAACGACCAGCTGGTGAGAAGCTGTGTCTGGGGCGCCCCGCCAGCCAGGACAGCTCTCGAGGCGCGCAGGCGCGCGGGCAGAGGGCTCTTGTGCGCCCGGAGGACCTCCAGGCCCAGGCGAGAGGCCGGCTGCAAAGCTGGCTGGAGAGGGCGCCTGCTAGCAAGGCGGGAGCCAAGGCTGCGCTGAGGGGCTCCCTTGTCCGCAAGTGCCTGAGCTTGAGCAAAACCCCAGGAAGAGGGAGAAGCGGCAGCAGCTGCTAAATCTAACATCTATCCGCCCGGCTGCCTATCTATTGGCCTGTCTTTCTATCAGCCAATCCTGGCTGCCCCTCCGCCCACCCGTTTATCCGCCATCTACTCCCTTCACTCACTCACCCATCCGTCCAGCCCCGTCCATCAGCCAGCCCCCCGCCTGCCCGGCCATTTGTCCTTCCATCCACCCGTCTGTCCATCCAGCCACCCGCTCGCCCATCCTTCCATCCGTCCATCTGTCTGTCCATCCATCCGTCCACCTGCCCATCTATCCATCCATCCACGCGCCCCTGGACCCACCCACCCATCTCACCACACAGTGTGGCGTCTGTGGTGGGAAGGGCCCCGCGGGTGAGTCACCCACACAGGACTCCTACACCTTCGTTTTGTGGAAAAAAAGAAGAGGCAGCCAACGCCCAAGAAGGCAGATGCAGGAGACACACAGCCATCCTCACTGTCTCATCGTGACAAGCCTCCGGCCTCAGTCCCCACAGTTAGGCCATCCCCAAGGGCTGGTGAGACGCAGACCCCTGGCCCCCACCACAGGCTGCATGCCGTGGGGCCGCCGGTCATGGCCTGCAAGAGGAGAGGACTGAATGCAGAAGTGAAAGCAAGAGCTGCTCTCCAACGGGCATGGAGAGCCCTGTTTATCTGTCCCTTTACTCCCAAGTCAAGAGTTTGAGTGGCTCAAGGGTAACCATGTAAAAGCTCCAAGATCTCAAGCATGAGGTAACTTCTCTCAGCTTCTAAAAATAGGCCAAGCACAGAGGCACGGCTGCTGGTCCCCGCAGAGAAGGCCCCTCAGGAAGGCCCTTAGCACCTCACGTTTGTAACTTCTTGCTCTGAATTTCCATTTTGCAACTTGGTCCCTTAATTGGAAAGTGTGGGTTTATAATGTAGTTGCTGGCATACACATGCGCTATGCCGGGGAGGGAACAGTTGCTTGTGGGGAAATAAGAAACAAATAGGCCCCGACCCCTAGATCCTCTAGAAGCGGAGAAAGGCCTCTCAGTGGGAAGTGGGCAGGGTCTGGAGAGAGGGTGCTCGGGGGAATTATGGGTAGAAACTCAAAGGCTGTGCCCGATAGAACTTATCCTCTCGCCTGTGATTATTAACACAACCCCACAGCCATCAACGCTGCAAACACCCACACCGGGATGTGGGCTGGGAAGGAACGGCAGGCCAGCCAGCCCGCCCAGCCCCCTGGGCCTGCCCCAGGTCACCCTGCCCCAAACACCAGGAGCGGGGTGCCAGGAAGCGCATCAGTGAAAGAACGCAGCAGACAATCCCTCGTGCGCTGGCGTGCAGACACTAAGATGGGCTTGTTTTTAAGCTCCCTAAGTAGCATCCTGTCTTCCCCCAGGACCGGGGACTTAAAAGTCACGCCTTCGCTCGGACACCTACCAGAGCGGTAACATCACCTAGGCTGGGAATTGTTTAAACGCAAAGGCTGGCTGACTATCGCCTTGCTTTTCAAATATTCTCTTTTGCTTCACTGACAACGCTAAGACTTTTAAAAGTATATGTTCTTGGGGATATTTTCATTTATACGAAGGCACATGGAGTGTGTGTACGTGGGGGGAGGGAGGTAAAAAGGAACGAAGTTAGAACATCAGATACAACCCAAGGGAAAGTTTGTCACAAAGCAAAATTACCCTAAAGTTCCTTTAAGAACTATCTAATCTATGGGACCTCCCTGGTGCCACAGCGGGTTGAGCGCAGCGCCGTGAAGCTGTCCACAGCCTCTACAGCGCAGGTTCGATTCCCGGCCGACCAGGGAGCAACCCACATGGTGCGGCAGATTCTCCTGTCTCCCCGCTGCTCCCCTCAGCAGTGTCTTCAGTCCCTCTGCCTGTTCTGCTCCCCACTCTGCCTCTGGTGAGTCCTCTCACCCTCCCGCGCCTCTGACCTGTACCCCAGCTCTTGTATAAATAAATCTTTTTTTAAAAAAAGAAGTATCTAATCTAAAACCACCTTGCTTTAAATGCCAGCTAAATGAGGAGGGCCAGTTAGTTTTTACTAGGAGAGCACAGCATGGCACTGGGACTTCAGGTGTGTCGCATAGGTGCTGGGGTTTGTTGAAGTGAATGGCAGGAATGTTTGATGAGGCAAGCAGATCTCAATCACAAATAAGAATCCAAAGGGGGCCCCCTACCTTGGGGTCCTGCATAGGAAATACAAGCGGGACCCGGGAGCTCCGAGGCTCCCAGGAGGGAGCCCTCACATGCGGTCAGCGGCAGCTACACTGTGATGGGAGGTTTCATTTTTTTATGCAAACAATGCCTGCGTCAGTACGTCAAGGAGCATCTGCAGCCCTTGTTCTCAACCTGGAGGAAAGCTGACGTGTTTCCACCCTACTAAGCTTGTGCTTCAAAAACGCACCCCCACACACGCGCACACACACACACATTCCAAAGGTCCCATGTCACAGCAGGCATCATCCTATTTTTGTTTCAGATGTGCAACTTAGTGGGGTCTCTGAGTCGGCCTTCGCACGATCACAGACGCGGCCTAGAACAGACGCTGCTCTCCTGGATCTCAGGGTAGCCCTACCCAAGAGCCCCGAGGCCAGGGCGCTGTCCACGGCAGCACACCCGCCGCCCCCTGAGGCAGAGGGCGCTGTCCACTTCAGCACCACCGCCGCCTCGGGCGGTGGGTGGGCGCTGTCCACTTCAGCACCGCTCCCTAAACCTGTGTGTGAGCAGAGGGGGGCTGTGCAGTGCCACGCCCCCACAGGGTGCTGGGCCTACCTAGTTTTTGCATGCATGCACGGAGCCTTTCTTCAAGATTGGACACTCTGCTCTGAAGTTCATCGTAGTCATAGGCGCCAATTTCCTCTTGCAGCTCGTTAAGCACTGACGTCAGATTCTGGACCTCCTCTTTAAACTGCAATACCAATTTGGCATCGGCCTTGTACTCTTCCAACACAGGTATCAAAGGCCTAAGTTCATCCATTTTCGCTTTTATCGCCTGCAAGGTTAAAATAAGCTGGGTTCAGAGCGATGCGTGCAAAAACTTGTCACACCCTGCCTTGGCCTGGCTGCTCCCTAGGTGAGGGAAATGTGCATCCTCCCACTTTATTAATGGGTTGATTTATTCTGGACCAAATGAGTTAGGAGAGCATATTAAACAGTCTTCAGAACACCAACATATTTGGGAAAGGTCTTTATTGTCAGTTTAGAATGCAACATCTTAAGGTTACATGCTTTAAGTCACATACACAAAGTTTTTTTTTTCTTTTTCAAAAAATGCATTGACAAGGGTTCAAACTATTCATGAAATGCAGCTACAGTCGCATGCAAAAGAGGATCCTGGTTGTATTCAAGGTTCCTTAGTGATATGGTGCTAAAGATTGGAAAATAATAGTAAAAATGCAGGGTGCAAAAAGCTGTCTGGCCCTCTTTCATGGTTACATGGGAGTGGACTGCCTCTTCAGTCACTGCAGCATTGAAAAAACTCTTTTAAGTTAGCCCTGCAAGCAAGAAAATGAAATACTGTTGAAGAACTAGCTCACTAGCCTGCCCTACACAGTTAGCCATTCAGGGACAAAAGTTCTTATGGTCACTGCAAAAATCACCCTTCACTGCTAGACTTAGTTTAAACACGCTGGTTTAACATCGCTTAGATTCCCTCGCAGCAACGCCTGTTGACATTTTTAAATGCAATGAAATCATGGTAAGAAGTAAGGGGCTGCTTTCCTTCCCCCAGAGCCAGGCTGCCCCCAATTTTGGAACTGGGGGACAAGTTTGCGTGGACAGAGCTTGCAAAGACAAGCCAGCCCGCGGCGGCTGAGTGCTCCGCACCTGCCACGAGGAAGGGAGTCCTGCCCTTCAAGGAGAGACACAAACTCTTTTAGGCTAGGCCGGTCAACCTCTTCTCAAGATAATTCATGAGGACGTGTCAGGAGCCAGGACATGTCCATCCACCTGCCTCCAATGAGAGCGATCAGCTTACTGTGCCTCAACGGGATCAGGCTGCTGTTCTTTTATTTATAATAGAGATTTATATCTTCATTAGCTCACCATTTCATCTATATAACGTATGGCTTTTGAAAGCGAATTAGTTCTTGCTTCACGCAGAGAGCACATCAAAGGGAAACATTAGCATAAAAAGGGCATGAAGACTGAACGTCAGCACTTCTAGTCAAGCAAGGCTGTGGAATTTGACCTGCTCATTTACATCTGGGCGAGGTTACTAATTAACATGCATGTATACCTTAATTAAGGTGCATATCATTTCTCAATTTGGTCGCTTCGAGGCTGAGTAAACTCGAGACGTATATACACATATTTGCATACATGTATATATGACTTCAGGGCAAACGAACTCCGACTTTAACGCCCGGAGTCCCCTGGATGAAAGGAACACTTACCGCGAGGTGAGAAAGATGTTGGTGTCTCTCTTTCCTCCCTGCAAACCCACAGCGTTCCCTGTCACAGCTGAATTAGGTCAGATGTGAAAAATTGCCCGGAGTGATCCCAGCTCAGAAATGGCTCTAATCAATTAAGCTAATCCCGGGCTAATGTGATTTACCTGCAGCAGCTGCGGAATGACAAGGACCAGAGGTGTCCCTTCCCTTGAGCTGCTGGGGGTCTGGGCCCCCCTGGCTTCAGAAGCCAATCTCTGCTGGTGGCCAGCGCGGGCCCGCCCCTCCCGGGGTGCCTTCGCCCACCAGGTGCAGGGGCGGGGGCCTCCACTTCTAAGGACAGCAGCCCCATGGGGCCGCACCAGCCCAAGGGAGGCGCGGGGGCAGCAAGCCTCGGAGGCGGACATACACACCTTGAACTGCCTGGCCAGGTGTTGCTTGTGGCTCTCCTCCACCTGCTTGAACTTGGACTCCAGACCTTTCATCTGGTTCTCCATCTTCTCCACATACTGCAGGTCTCTCTGAGTCCGCCTGTCCAGGACCTCTATGGATTGAGACATGTTCTGCACCTGTCAAAAAGGCAACAGGTTGAGGGAAGCGCTGGGGAGGGTGCCAGACCAGCGTATTTGTCTCCCAGCACACGACGGTGACCTTTCCTCATGGCCAACGTGCTGGGAGCCCGCAGCAGCCCATGCATTATTTACTAGTTAATCACCAGCATCGGGGATTGTTATGACCGAGAACTCCCCAAACAGAGCAAATTGGTTCGGTAAACACTCCCTCGGCCATCTTCAGGACGGGAGCTCACAACCAGGATGCAAATCAGGGGCGTGGGAGCCTCCACGTCCTCGGCGGTCAGAGCGCCAGGTTTATGGCTTCGGGTAATTATTTTTCTCTTGCGGGGGATGTTTCCAGTCTCTGTTTTGCAGGATGCAATCAGGCATAAATATCAACAGAGATGAACAGGCCGCTGGGCGCCCCGCCCCCGGCGCAGTTCCTTTGCCTCCAGAACCTCCCCCAGTGTCGTGCGCAGAAGGCTGCCTGCGTGAGAGCTGGGGCGGGGACAGGGGCCGCCTCCCCTGACCTTGCGCCGCTCATCACACCCCATGACAGGTGGACGAGGCTCCGCGGGCACCTACATCCAGAGCAGGGAGTCGGGGAGCAATCAGCCGGCAAATGAGGCATCGCTGTCTTACACCCTCACGGGCGGGTCTGGGCCGAGTCTCGCCTCGGATGGAACTTTAATATTCAACAGGATTCCGGAGCTTGCAAGGAAAACAGTTCCGGCGCGGCCACGCCGGGGCATCTTCTCCGCAGGCTTGTGCGTCCGTGCCAGCGTGCTGGGCGCAGGGGAGGTGGCCGCAGGACCAGCCAGGGCCCAGGGGTCATTGACTCAGAATCTAATCCATTTACTAGGGAGGAAGTGACCTCCCTCACCACAAAGCTTCATTTCTGATTTTTTTGCTGAATTTGAAAATACACTGCCTTCTAGGAACAGAATCTTCTGGGGCTGAAGCTCAGCTCCGCCTGTCGGAGGGAAGGACAGATGCGGGCGGGGCCTCCGCTCCTCATCCCCCACCCCTTGGGGCAGAATAAGAGAGCGCGACTGAGAGGCCTCTCGGCAGAAAAGCCAATTCTGCTCAGCTCAGCTCTCAAAAATGCCTAATATTTGTGACTTTGTGACTTTCCGTGTGAAAATAATATCTACAAAACCAGTTTAAAAATTGAGCTTCGTCCAGCCCCCATAGGACGCCTCTGACTCCCTGATCTTTGCTGTCCAGACATCTATGGCAAACTGAAATACGCTCGTGCTGTTTCCTATGTCTCCGCCCCCCTGGCCCGGCTTCATCGCCACTGCCATTCTCTTAAGTGACAACTATTTGTCATCCTTCAACGCCCAGCCCAAATGCCACCTCCTCCAGGAAGGTTTCCTGGATAAGCTAAGCCAGGAAAGGCTGCCTTCTCCCGTCACCCTGTGGGCACTGTGCTGGCACAGCAGCGCCCCACGCGCCTCAGGAAGCCCGGGGAGGGGAGTTCACACCCGTGAGCCGCACCAGCCAGTCCCCCAGCGCAGGCGCGTGCCCGGCAGCCGACGGCCGGGAGGAAGGAGCTACTGCAAGAGCGACTCCAGCCAACACCCCTCTCCCCTCCTCTCTGGGCTCGAAGGCAAAGCAAGGGCTGAGCAGTGCTGAGGGCAGGCTGCGGGGTCACGCGGGCCCAGACGCACCTCCTGCCAGGGGGCCCCACGGAGTCCAGGGGGTGCGCCTCACGAATGGTGAATTTTAAAGACTACATTTAGAAAGCACATCTAAGGATGCCAAGGTACTCGGCCGCCTGAAGACAGCATCGTGCTCTGGGGAGCCGTCCTCCCTGAGCACCCCCGGGCCAGTCAGAAAGCAGACTGCGGGTCTGCAGCGCTCGGCCAGGGGCCTCGGCCGGCGCACCTGCTGGCTCGCCCGCAGGGTGCGGCCCTGAGAAGCTGAGCAGAGAGCTCAAGGTCAGCGGGAAGGGCATGGTCTACCGGTGCTGTGCCCACGAGGCACCAGGTGTGGGGGAGGGGCAGCAGACACACCTGGCCTGGGGGACCCCTGCTTACTAACACGTGGCACCTTTCTGGGTGTCCCAGCCCCGTGTCAGGCCCTTCACATTGTTTATCTCACTGGAACCCCCAGAGGGGAAGGTTACCTCGGGCCCCAAGGATGCCCAGGCTCAGAGGAGGCACATCTCTGGGTCCCCACCCTCAGCAGCCAGTCAGGGTGCTGGCTCGGAGAGCAGAGCTGGGGGTGCCCCCTATGCACTCGGCGGAGGTGCTCCTGGGGGTCCTCTGCACTGGCCTGGGGCCAGAACCCTGGGGGCTTTCAGCGCTGTGGCCAGACCCCTCCCAAGAACCCTGCGCCAGTGCGTGGGGCAGCCCCTGGCTTGCTGGCTCCTGAGCCGGCAGGAGGGCGCCGTGGTGGGGCGGGAGGGAGGGCCAGCCCCGCCCCCCAGGGCAGCAGGCTGTGGGCCAGGCCCCGCGGCCCCGCCTCTGAGGACGAGCATCCATTAGGGCGCAAAGCACGGCTTTCAATTTTTAAGCAGCAATGGCGAGGCCACGTGGCCAGAGAGGAGAGCCCCAGGCTCGCCTCCCCAGGGGCTCGTAGAGCTTTCTGGAACCCATTTCCGGCTTTCCATCACTCACCAAACACCGCCTCCCCAGAGCCAGGGCCCAGCCTCTCCCGCCTGCCCTGCAGGCCCCGGGGCTCAGCGCCCCCCTCGTCCTCCACAGCCCTGAATAATTAAAGGCCCAATTAGGCTTCTGTCCACTCTGGTGCTAGTGACTGTCCGTGGAATCTGTTAAATGCATTTTCCCTTAATTCTTTTAAATGATCTCCTCGGGCGGCTGCAGAGGACAGAACAGAGGAGGACTCTTCCCCCACCCCCAGCCCCTCAGACCCCCTCAGGCCCCGCACCTGCCCAGCAGCTGGAAGCCAGTGCAAGCAGGGGCGCTATGGCGGTCTGGGAGCGGGGCTGGAGTGGGGGACAGAGCCTCGGGCGCCCGCCCTGGCGCCAGCAGCACCCCAGCCTGGGGCTCAGGCATGAGTGAGGGAGGCCTGGCTGTGGCGTGTGCGTGTGCGTGCGGGCGTGAGGGTCAGGCATGTGGTGAGTGTGCGTGGTTGCGCGTGTGTGTGTGTGCTATGTGTATGTGTGCGTGTGCTGTGTGTGCATGTGCGTGGCTGTGCGTGTGTGTGAACATCTATCTGGTGTCTCTGGTGTCTATGAGACATCTACCCACTGTCTCACATAAATAGCCCCTTTCCTTGGCGGGGTAAGGAACTGACCTCCTGCCCTGAGTAACTCCCAGGGGACCCCGACAATCAGCTCCTGAGAACAGAGGGTGCCTGGAAGGGAGGTACCAGGAGCAGCCCCGGGGCCAGCGGCCGGCTCTGGGACATGGGGTCGGGGTGCTGGCACCCGCTGCTGGCTGCCTGGTGGGGTCACACGCTGCCGCTTGCGTGGGGTGACGGCCCCTCCTATCGTCACACGACTCGGTGACATTAGCTGGAATAATGGATTCAAAGTGTCTGCAGCCGGCACAGCGGTGCCCAAGTGGCCACGGAAGGGGTGAGCCGAGCAGCCTCTGCCCCAGCAGGCGTCCACAGAGGTGACCGGCTGCCCTGCCCCCTGGCCGGGACCCGCCTCCCAAGCGGGAAAAGGTGCCGGGGGACCGACGGAGCCCTCTGGCCACAGGCCGCCCGGTGCCTGGCGGCGCGGAGGGGGAGGGCCCGGGCAGCACCTCGGCGGAGCCTCAGGGACCGGGAGCCGACTCAGCCCTCGGCCTCCCCTGGGGAAGCTCCGCCCGCCCGCCAGCCTGTCCCCCTCCCACCCCCACGCCGCCATCCACCGCCCCCCACCCCTCCCAGCCAGCTGTCCCCCACCTGTGCACCCCACCCTCCCTCCACAAACAGTCTGAGTGAGGACCTCCGGGAAAGAGCAGCTCGGAGCCCAGCCAGCCCGGGCTGGTGTGCACACGCGTGTGCACACAGGGAGTGCACACTCACCTTCTCCAGCAGCTGCCTCAGCTGTTTTGTGCGGGCATCCCGGGAGCACATGGTCTGCTGGGGGGCGACCACCGTGCAGATACACCTGCCCTCGCTGTCCTGGGCGGAGCTGTACACCTGCCAGCTCTCCTCAGGGTTGGTGGGCAGCACCTGGGGACAGGGCAGGGGAGAGAGTGAACCCACAGGGCAGCGCCCGCGCCAGCCCTGGCCACGACCCGTCCCCGGGAGGGAAGTGCGCCAGCCGCGGTGGGAGAGGTCCCGACAGCCTCGGTGGGCCCGGCCGGGGGAGCCCGGCGGCACAGCTCTGTCTGCAGCTCCGTGGACGGCTGGAGTCTGGGCACGTGAAGGGAGCCAAATCAGGGAGCAGCGGCCAGCAGCCGCGAGCTGGACGGAAGCGAGCGAGGCGGGGAAGCAGGGGCCGCCTGACTCACAGCGGCACGTAATTCAGAAACCAGAGCGCCGCCCGGCCAGGCAGGCGGCCGCGTGCAGCCCTGCGCTGCTCTCCACGCCGGAGCCCGGCACCGCAGCCCCCCCGGGCTGCAGCCTGAGCCCAGCCCTGTCCCGCCCGCCTGGCCAGGGCCGCCCGGACACCCAGCTCCGAGCAGGCGGCCGCCTTCGAGCCATTTGGCGGATGCGACCCAGTGGCTGGCCACACGCTGAGTAGGGGTCACCCCAGCCGCGGCGCGGGGCTGGCCGGAGGGCCGGGAAGCCGGGGCTGCACAGGCTGGGTGTTGCCTGGCCACCAGCGGTGGCCCTGCCGCACCTGGCCACGCCGCCTGGGGAGCACCCCCCGCTGAGCCCTCCACCCCTGCAGCTCGCCCAGGGGATCGGTCACCTCCGGCTATTTTCAGCACGGGGAGGAGAAGCTGGGGGGCTCCGTAGTAGCAACACATTGCACTCCATCCACTCCCGGGGCGCGGGACCCAGAGGCCAGACCCAGAGCCTGCTCCGGCCTCCGGCAGGAGCCCCTTGTGCGATCCCAGAGGGCAGGCGAGGTGAGGGGGGTGGGGTCACGGGAGCCCCAGCGCTGGCCCTCGCAGAAGCCCCGGTGTGGAGGGAAAGGCCCCTTCTGGGAGCCCGGCCCCTGGGCCACCTGCGAAGCCCTGCCCGGCAGCGCTGGCCTCTGACCCTCTGACCCTTCCCACGCGGCGGGAGGGGGCTCAGAAGGCAGGGGGGGCTGTGCTGGGGGGAGCCCCACCCGGGGCCCCTCCGCCCTCTCCCCCGTCTGGGACCTTGTCTTGGGGGGAGACGCAAGGGGCCGTGGGGGGCAGAGCCCTCCAGCCCCCGGCGGCCCCCACCTCGGGGCGGGTCCACCCTGGCTTTGACAAAGTAGGGCGCCCGGGCTGGACGGCGCCGGCTGGGCCGGAGGGCGGCTGCGTCCCCGCCCTGACTCGCCGAGTGACCTTGGGCCGGGCCGAGTCCCCCGGCCTCCCCGGCGGGCGAGGGACTTGCCGGAGTTGGGGAGTTGGACGGGGCTGCGCGGGTGTCCGGCCGGGAGGGGCGCGGGCCCGGCGGGAGCGGGAGGAGCGGGCGGGGCGGCTCCACCCGGCCGGGGCACTTACGCCGGTGCTGCGGTCGAGCGTCCCGCCGCTGGCCGCCGAGAGCCGCGTGGTGTTGAGGCCCACGAGCGCGGGCAGCGTCTGGGACATCCAGTTGGTGATCATCGCCATGGTGCTCAGCACGACCCGATCTTGAGCAGCGGCACCGACATCGCGCCGGACTCGCCTCCCGCGCCCGCGCGCCGCGCCGGCCCCGCGCCCGGGCAGCCTCAGGCGGCGGGCACCGCGGCGGGCAGGGGCGCCCGGCCGGGTCCCCGCGCGCCCTCGGCCCGCCGCCGCCCGCCCGCCGCCGCCCCGCGCGCCCCGGCCATGGCCGCGCGCCCGGGCGCCCGAGAGAGGCCGCCCCCGCCCCGCCGCGCCCCGCCGCGCCCCGCTCGCCCGCGCCGGCTCCCCGCGCCCCGCGCCCCGCGCCCGGTCCCCGCGCCCCGCGCCCGCCGCCGCCGCCGGGAAGGGCCGCCCGGCTCTGAGCGCTGCGCGGGCTGCGCGCGGGGGCCGCGGCCGGGAGGCGGGGACACGGCGGGCGGCGGCGACGCAATCGGCCCAGGAAATGGGTGGAGGATCCTCGGCGCGCTCGGCTCGGCTCCCCGCCGCCCCCTGGCTGCCGGCAGCGCGGCCTGCACGCGCCCCCAGGCCGCGCGACCCCGCTGCCCCCGCCGCCCGCCGCCCCCTAGACGCCGCCGGGGGGCCGCTCCGCACCCGGCCTGGGGGCCCCCAAACCAGCTGGGAGGGTGCTCTTGGCCCTCGCAAGGTCTCCAGCGGCGCCGGGCGAGGGGGCCGGGCGCAGGGCAGGTGCTCCGGGGCCTCTGGCGGGGGACCCCAGCGCGGCCCCTGACCACTGCGGGCGCCACGCGGGCGCCTGGGAGGGGGCAGCTGCGTGGGTTTGGGGCTCGGGGCTTTGGAGCTGAAGGGCCACACCCAAGAGGAGAGTGTTATGGGCGGGCCCTGGGCAGGGCCGGCCCTGGGCTGCGTCCCCTGGCTCCCCTGTTCCCGGTGCCCAGGCAGGGCGGGCTGCAGGCCCCCCACAGCAGCCGCAGCCACGCCCCAGACCTCAAGCAGGGGCGGCGGGCCTGGGCCCGACACCGGCTGGGGCTTTGGAATTCGCAGGTTCCCAAACGCAGGTGGAAGGCGCTGGCTCCAGCGCCCGCCCAGCGCGGCCGGTCCTGGGAGGGGGCCAGGCCGGGCACGCACTGCCCCTGCCAGCCACGCACCGGTCTCCCTTTCTGGTCAGGGACTTGGAAGAAGGGCTGGCTGCCCGGGGCCCCCCAAGGCGGCGGCCCCTTCCTGGGGCTTCTCCCCTCTGGGTTTGTAGCGGACTCGGCCCCTCGGCGGTGCTGGCCGCGTGCGCTGAGCCCCGGGAAGGGGCTGCTGGGTTTGTTTCCATCGACGCAGGCCCCACGGGGCTGGCCGCAGCCGGCGGCAGCTGGGCACCGGCGCCACCTCCCCGGGCACGCGGGTACTGCAGGCTCCGCGCGAATGGCCGGGCCTGCGCCGGGCACCCAGGCCCGGGCACGCTCCCCGCCTTCCCTTCCCTCCCCAGACGTGTAGCACCCGCGGAGCAAGTCCGCCCTGCGTGCCCCCTCCCACTGCAGCCGGCCACTGCCGCGGAGACCGAAGCCGCTGGAGCAAGTGCAAATCCAGGCCCTCCAGCCACACCACTCCCAGGCGGGCTCAGGAGTGCAAGATGGGGGGGGGGCGTTGCTACAGCAGTCTGGGCAGCACCCAGAGGCGCAGCACAGCCCCTGGGCCAGCAGCAACACTGAAACCACGTCCGCACGCAGGGGGAGACCTCACCCCAAGCCAGGGCCTGACGGGCAGCTCCGCGCAGCCGGACAGCCTGGCCCCCAGCCCTGGCTCTGCCACTTACTGCCCGTGACGCCTGATGAAGGCCGCTAGCCCTCCGCGTCTCGGCCCCCCACCTGTCCAGTGGGTCTCCCCACAGTGGCCTGCCTCTGGGGTGTTGCAGGTGAGATGCATTAGTGCCGAGAGGGCACTAACACCCACAGAAGGCACCAGTCCTCATGCCCCCTGCCCAGCAGGAGCACAGCGTGCTGACCGGGGCGGGGCCAGGGGCCAAGCGCCCACGGGAGTCTGCCTCCGGCTGAGCTGGGTGCCCATTGCGGGCACTGCGGGCAGGAAGCGGCTCCAGCGCCGGTGGTGTGGTCAGTGGCGTGTCCGCGGACGGGCAGGTCAGAATTTAAAGAACTTCTGGTTCGATTCTGGGTCAGCTGTGCCCTGGGGGCTCACAGTCATTGCTCTCAGGCTGAACAGCGCCAGCTTGGTGGGCGTCTCCGCCAGAAGGGAGCCCAGGTCATCTGCAGGGGTGCTGGAAGCTGCTGGGCAGGGGGTCCAGGCATCAGGGGCTGCCCTGGAATTCCATCCCACCGCCTGGGGGCCAGGCCGCTCGGCCTCCTCTGTGGTGCTAAAACCCTGTATCACGTTTCTCCCGAGGCTGCTGTCATGTTGGGGTGCCAGGGAAGGCTCAGAGCACCCCCTAAGGTGTGGCTGAGAAGCAGAGACAGGCACCTGCAGTTACTCAGTCTGAGCTTACCAAAGTGGACTGCACCCCGATTCCTACAGCTCCCCGTGACTCAGCTGACCATGGGTGGAGGTCAAAAGATTTGAGGGTGAGGGGAGAAGCCAGCTCACCCCACCGATGCCTTCACGTCCTGCCACGCCACCATGTTCTCGGTACTGTCCGCACGAGCAGACGCTCTGCCCTCACCCCGCCTCCCCGACGGAGCGTGGGGCCAGGACAGGGCGGAGGGGTGGACGCAGCCCCACTCCATTCCAGCGCGGGCGCCCCCCACTGCCACACGCCTGCACCCCGCCCTCCCTTGCTGCCTGCCCTGCTCCCGCACCCTGCCCTGCACCCTGCCGCCTTCACCAGCGGGGAGGTTCGAGCAATCTCGTCCCGCTCACCCAGCGCCAGGCGCGGCGGGAGGCTCGGCTGCCAACGCACTTGAAAGGTCACAGAGGAGCTTTGACTGAGTCAGGACCACGCGCGTGTCCAGAGCAGAGCGCACCCTGGGAGGACAGTCCCGGCCCGTGGGCAGCGCGAGTGTCCTCAGAGGAACGTGAACCCCCATTTCCACACGGCGACCCTCGAAGCAGGGGAGCGCTGGCACCTCGGCAGCCACCCAACGCTGACGGAGCGGGTGCTGCTGATGCCCAGACGGGCAGGACGCCCTCACCCTCACAGAGGCGGGTGGCCGGCCAGCAGGTGAGGCCTGAAAAGGTGAGCTGTGCCCCCCCAGGTGGGGCTGCTTTCCCCAGGCCTGGCTCAGAAACAGGGGTCACCTTTGCCTTCAGATGTCCGGGTGTCTGGAGACAGGCCTTGTGACCCCATTCGTGAGGGCCCCCATACCCCCACCTCCTAAGGCGGGGGTCAGGATTTTGGTGTATGACTCCTGAGGGGACTCGAGGCCTGGGGCACTCAGGGGCTCACCCCCAGCACATGTGACAGCGAGTGCACCAGCTGCATGTGGGGCTCGGGCTCCGGCTGCTGTTGGGGAAGGAGGCCCCGTCCTGCCCACACCCCGCCCTCCCCAGACGGGCAGCGCCCCTGGGGGCAGGCTTGCCTGCGGGAGAGGCCCGCCACAGCCCATTCCCCAGCTGGGGCCCCAGGTGAGGACGGCCAGCCTGTGCTTCTCGGCACGGGGTCACCCCAAAGGGCAAGGCTGGGATGCCCCTGCCCTTTAAAAATATGCGGGTTCCCCTTGAGCTACTTCTGCTGGGGGCAGGAGGGGGGGGGGCTGCCCAGCCCTTCCTGCCAAGGGCCTCTTCCTTCTCTGGGGGAGGAACATTCTAGGAGCAGAAAGGACTGTGTGGAGCCCGGGGGGTGTTGCTGAGCCCTCTCTCCAGCAGCCCTGCTTGGCTGCCGCGGGCAGTGCCGCCAGGGCCCCTCCACCGAGCACTGGCTCTGGGCTGACAAGGGTGGACATGGCAGACTGTGGGCAGCACGCTGCTCCCTGGCCTTGTACCCTAGCCGTGCCTGGTGGCCTGCGGTGCCTCTCTGGGGGGTCTCCCCAATACTCCCCCAGCCAACAAGCTGCCCGGTGGCCTGGTGTCTGGCCGGCGGGGGTGAGGCCAGCAGCCCCACGGGGCAGGAGGCCTGAGTCACGGTGCCGAGGTGGGCGGGAGAGCAGTTGGGCCCTCCCTCCCCAGGACCGCTGCCCACCTGCCAGGAGGGGGCGCCAGCCGGCCAGGGGGCCCCTCCACACCAGGGCGGCGGGTGTGTGGGAGCAGCCCAGGCACCAGGGCTGGCCAGGCTCGGGTCCAGGTCCTTCCGCGGAGGCAGCGTGGGGCCCATTTCAATGCCCCGACGGAGCCGCCTCCAGGGCCCCACCCCATGGCCACACTGGGGCCGCTCCCAGCCTCAGCCCCAGCCCTCGTCTCCCCAGGCAGCCGACGAGCTCCAGGTTCCCACCCCCCTCCCAGAAAGTTCCACGCCACTCTCTTAAATGCTGCCCCCCAGCGTGGCCCAACGACGGGAGCCACAGCTCACGTGCTCTTAGTTGCCCGGCAGGGGGGGGGTCCGGTCCAGGGGTGGCGCTAGGGGTGTGGACGGGCTCCCCCTCCGGGCGCAGAGGCACAGCCTGGCCTCTGCTGAAGGCGTGGTGACGCTGCCGAGGTGGAGGGTGACGTCACCATGAAACCCCAGAAAGCCCCTTGGGGCGCGGCGGGCACACAGCCACCCAGGACCAGCTTGTGCTCCGGGCCTGGCGCTGCGGCATCTGGACATGGTGGTGTTCTCCGGAGCCGCCTGCCCGCGCCCGCCCGCTGCCAGACCAGCCTGACCCCTGCTGAGCCCCGGCAGGTGCGGGGGCTGCCCGGGAGGCGCCTTCTCGCCCGCCGTAAGCTCTCGCGGCGCCCACACACACCCCTGGCTCTGCCACATGTGATGCTGGCCCCAAGGCTGCGGGCAGGGGAGGGGCGCCGAGAGCACACGCGGCCTTTCTTTGCGTCCTGCTCTGGGTCAGGCCACAGCCCCCGCTGGGCGGCGGGCCAAGCCGCCTAAGATACTTGTGAAGCCGCCTCTGCCCGTCGGCCCGCAGGTGTCCGGAGCGGCACGCGAAGCCGGTGGGCGGGCGTCACTTTGTGTGCAGAACCGCCTGCGAGAACCATTTGCACACCAGGAGGGCGGGGTGAGTGT